TCACTGCCACTTCTAGCTGTACATACACCCCTTTCAATTGTTAGCAGAGCCTTTTAAAAGAACTGTGTTGTTTGTGTGTGTGTGTGTGTGTGTGTGTGTGTGTGTGTGTGTGTGTGTGTGTGCGCGCGTGCTTGGTTTTGTTTTGTTTTGTTTTTTGTTTGTTTTGTTTTGGTTTGGTTTTGCTTATGCTGAGTCAGGAAGATTACCTGAAGCAAGCCGCATGAGTCTCTGCTTGTCAATAGCAAAACAGAGCCCACCTGAGAAAAATGCTGCTACCAAGAAGCTGTGCTTCTCTCCATTCTTTTGTTTCTAAAATTGCTTTTAAGCTCTTGTCATTCTACTTGGAAATTTAATCCCACTCCTGACAACCATATGTTCCCCGCCATCTGCCTGGGCCCTGCCACAATTGCAGTCGCCAAATAATACACAAGACACTGTATTAATTATGAAGCTATTGTCCTTTTCTTGTTTCTTACTGGCTAGCTCTAACTTAAATATTTAACTCATTATTGTTAATCTAAGTATTTCTCTTACCGGAGAAAGGGTCCGGACTTCTTAGCCCTATGGCGGCTACATTGTGGCTCTCTGTGTTTCTCTGTCCCAGAATCCTCCTCAACTCCTAGTCCTACCTATCTTGCTTCCCTGTTGGCCAACAGTGCTTTATTGACATATACACAGGACTTCCCTATCATGTATGTGTATTTTAGGATGCTTCAACAATAGTAGGTTCTCCTGTGGTTTTTCAAATAGTCTTTGGTGTAAGTTGTCCCTCCCCACATTCTCTCCTTTACCTTCTCTTCCATTCCCTCTCTATTTAATGTTTTATTATACTTTTCCTCTTGTTATTCTATAATAATGTACTCTATGCCTTCTTCTTTGGATGACACTCTCCTCCATCCTAGTCCCCTATTTGGTACCTAACTTTTGTGATTACTTGGATTGTAGTGTGCCTATCAAAAGCTTAAACAGTAATGTCCACATATAATAGAAAACATGCAGTATTTGTCTTTTTGGGTCTAGGTTATCTCATTCAAGTTGATTGCCTCCTAGTTCAATCCAATTACCTTCAATTTTCATAATTTCACTTTTAAACAATGGAACACTATTCCATTGTGTAAATGTAGTATTGCTATCACCTGTTCATCAGTTGATAGACATCTGGGATGTTTCCAATACCTGTGTACTGTGAATAGAGCAGCAAAGAACATGGATGAGCAGGCATTTCTGTAGTAAGGTTTAGGGTCCGTTGGGTGTATTCCAAAGAGTATAATCACCACACTGATTTGCATGGTGGCTATAAAAGTTTGCACTTCCATCAACAATGAAGAGGTATTTCCCTTTCCCCACCTCCCAATCAACATGTTCTGTTATTTATTTTATTGATGTTGGCCATTCTAATATAGGTAAGATGAAAGCTGTCTTTACATGTACAATGTCCCAAAGACTGACAGAAACTTTATTGTTAAGATCTGGGAAAAAGTACAGGGTAACATCGATCCTCAGTTTAGTTCCTGTCCACCAGGGGGTGCAGTTTCCTGACACAGGCTCATTTCCCTTTCTCTGAATTAAGATTTCTTCATGCTAAGCATCAAGACCATTTTCTAGATGACACTAAAGATGGACTCTTCTCCAGGTTTCCTGTCTGCAGTACTCCTCATACTCAGTAAGGAAAGTGATTTTAACATCAAAGTCTTTAGCCTTATGCTATCTAAGAGTATTATCCTCAAGGTGACACAGAACTGTCCCTCTCTCTGCTCTCCTTGCACTCTAGGAATGACACATGGAGACTCCTTGACTCAAGCAGGAGGCCAAGTGACCATGTCTGAAGGCAAGTTCCTGACAATAAATTGCACATATTCAATCACAAGAATAGCGAACCCTGTATGCTTGGCATCCTGGAGAAAGCCTGCAGCTCCTCCTGAAAGTTCTCACAACTGGCACGAAGGGAAGCAGCAGAGGTTTTGAAGCTACATATGATAAAGATTCAACTCCTTCCACTTGCAGAAAGCCTCGGTCCACGAGTCAGACTCGGCTGAGTACTACTGTGCTGTGGGTGACACAGTGACAGAAACTGCAGGGGGAGCTGAACACAAGCTGAGAGGCAGCACGTGCCTCTGAAACCAGTCTGGCTTCAGTGCAACCTGTGTGTGGGGCCTTAGACTTCTCTGTTGGCGAAAATCCTATAGAAGTTCTCATGCCAGGCCACATAACTTCACAAACCACTAGAAGAATGAAGAGGTCTCTGCGACTGTATCTTATGTTATTTTCCTGCAGTGTTGGGAACCAACCCAGAGCCTTGTATATACCAGGCAAGGTATTCACCACTGAGCCACATTTAAACCTTGTCTATCCTTACATAATGAGTGTGATGGAGAATGAGACATCTACATAATGTGACCTAACCGAGTCTGATGGGAATGGTGACAGAAAGCTTCAAGCCTTCCCTTAGAAAGTCTGAGGAATTATTAAGAAGGAGAAGCAGCAGGATCTTACTTGCACACAGCAATGAGAAGAGCTAAAGGGAGGCACACTCATTGTGCTGAAGACAGCTCATTTCCTTGTTAAATCAGACAGAATTACTTCTATTTGAGGAGAAACTCATCATTTTTCTCTCCCTTCTTTCCTTTCTTTATCCCCTTCCTTCCTTCTTTCTTCCTCCTTTCTTTTCCTTTTTTGAGATGAGAGTCTCTCTATGTAGTCCTATGTCCTGGAACTCTCTATAGATCAGGCTTGCCACAAACTCACAAAGATACACCTTCCTCTGCCTTCCAGGTGTTGGCATTAATGCCATGAGTCACTATGAGCAACTATCATTTTCCTCTTAAATCCTTCAAATGATCACATGAAATCCACCTATTTCACAGTGAGATTTAGATTACTGTTAGATTAACTATCTGGGAACTGGCTACACTGTCACAAAACCAGTGATCACACTGTATTCACCTCTGTAACTCTCTCCTGGAAACCTGTTTTGTCCTGTATGAATGGATTATTCTAGTTTCCTTTTGATTTGTCAGGCAAGTTATGTTTCCATTCTTTTGCTTTCCCCATCTCTATGCATTAGATCTCAGATGCACCATAAATCTTCACTTACCCAAATAATTTTCACTTTTTCATTGGCTTTAATTTCTCTGAGAAATAAGAAACATTAAGAAAGGAATTTTCAAAACCTTCAACACTTATCACTTGTCAGTACCTGTGCCAGATACTCAAATTTTCCATTAGTGTAATTCACACAGAGAATTGCTGATCTGCTATGACCATATTTGAGAACATCAGGTCTTAGACAGTATTGTTGAACTAACAATGAATGACTGATTAAAAATCCTACCCTTACTATGAGAGCAGAATTTAACATTCACTCAAAAATATAGTGTATGCAAACATGAAATTGTCAAGGAATTATTAAAAATATTTATTTTTAAACAGAATTTTAATTTACCTATTTACTGACAAAACTCACCTTTTGAAACTGGTGACATACTAGCAAACAGAACAGGGGAAAACTCACATTCTAATGGAATTCACATTTTAGGTTCAGACTAAGTTCAGGCTAGTTGTTACTACCATGGACCATTTCTACTCATTGAAAAGTCATTAGTCATCTCCTTTCAAATGAGGATATTAAATATTACCTGTCCTATCTAATGACCCATGTACAGCCAAAATTGTACTGAGGTCCTGAAATAGATTCTAATTGACACTGTAACATGTGCTTTTTATTGAGCATATTAACCATAGTTTATTATAGCGAGACCAAAAGAGGAAGACAGACATGACAGAGAGAGAAAGGAAGATGAGAGAGGATGAGATAGAGATAGAGATAGATAGATAGATAGAGAGAGAGAGACAGACAGACAGACAGACAGACAGACAGAGACAGAGACAGAGAGAGTGATGAGAGAGAAGAAGACAAGAGAGCCTAAGTGGGTAGGGGTTTGTCCTTTAAAGGGGTCCTTTGCACCTGCGTGCAGACTGGTTCTCATGGAACTCTGGCCTGGCCAGAATGCATTCTGCTAGGTAATAGGGCAGGCCAGTGTAATGCCTGAGCCTTTCATTCCCACGTTAATTTATTATTAAAAGGAGGTGAGGGTGTTAGACGTGGCAAGTTGAGGAATAAGGATGGTGAGTTCTTAAGACTTCTTCCTGCTCACCTGGGGCCTTCGACCATCTTTGCGGGAACTTGAGAAAGCTGGGGTGTTGCTATGCCCTGAGTGGCTGGTTGCTCCATTGTAGTCCAGGCTATGTGGAACTCTCTGGTGTCTCTGTATAACTGACAAGATGTTAGCAGAGTAGAGGATAAAGTTAGGTTTAAAAGATTTTTTGTTGGGTCCTGGTATTTGTGGGGAAGACTGTAAGTTGACGGAGGAGTTCCCGAGAGGTCCCAAGATAAGGGAAGGGAATCTTGGGACCAGGGAGAGGTTGAATAATATTTAGAGTGCATTTGACCTGTTTGGATGGGTCCAATTTGGCTTCTTGGAACTTGCAAGAATAGTTTGAGTTTGTGAAAACACAAGTATTAGACACAGTAGTAGCATATTTATTTTAGAAGTGACTTGGCTGAAAACATTAACATTTTTTAAATTGACAGCGCTCATCAGAACTTTAATATTAAGACTATGAACAGCAGTAGCACAATGAAAAAGAAATCTGGAACATATTTTATTTAGCTCTTCCTGAAATCTGTCTTATGACAGAGCTTTGCCTTGTCTGTTACTTTAAGCTGGCAAAGTGTACCATGCTATTATGGTTACATTAGAATCTTCATCGTGCCTCACATGGCCAGCAGTGAAACGGGACCACAGAAGTTTACTCAAAGGTTTGAGCGAGTGCAGCTCTGACCCCAGGATGGCAGTGCTTGCATTGGTCCTGTCTCCAGGAGCTGATGAGGGCCTCAGGTCTATGATTGGCTGGCTGTACTTCCTGAGAGTTCCCTTATGTTACAAGAAAGAGCTGATGAAATAGACAGCTGCTTTGGGTCAGACTTCTGCAGAACCACAATGGAGAAGCACTGGAGTGCCTGCCTGGTTGTTTTGTGGCTGTACTTTCAGTGTAAGTTAGTGGAGGTTTTAGCCAGGGAGCCACAGGAAGTCAAAGAACATTTTCTTAGGATCTGGGGGAAAGACATGATTCCCTGGAATACGTGGAGAGAGCAAACTCATCCTATTCCTAGTCACCCGAGATCCTTGTGGACAGTAAAGAATACAATCTACAAGTGTGGATGATTGATTTCTACAATTTCATATTGTTTTCTGAACAGGGGCTGCTGGCAAGACCCAAGTGGAGCAGAGTCCCCAGGCCCTGGCTGTCCTGCAGGGAGAGAACTGTATCCTTCAATGCAATTACAATGTGAGCCCTGCTAACAACTTAAGGTGGTACAGACAAGACACAGGCAGAAGTCTTGTGTCCCTGGCAGTCATGACTCGAAAAGAGAACAGAAAGTCAAATGGAAGATACTCAGCAACTCTGAATACAGATACTCAGCACAGCACCCTGCACATCAAAGCTACTCAGCTCGAGGATACAGCCACCTACATCTGTGTGGTGGGTGCACCATGCTCCACAGACACTTGCAGCCAGCACCAAAACCTGCTCCTGGAGGCTTCAAGATAGCATAGGGGACAGAGCAGTCTTTGCAACACTGTTCTAAGAAACTGAGTTTCCCTTTGGGGGATATTAGCCTCATTAGAAAGACAGTTTCAAAACAAGCTGAAAAGAAAACTTAAGAACAATTTTAATAGATTTTCGAGGTAAAAACTACAATATAGGAAAGCAGAAAATTCAGGTAGCCACCATTAGGTGGAAAAAATATTAGTGTTTTCAGTTCACCAAAGAGGTCAGAGAAACAGCAAGAAAACTGAGAATGTCAATGAAATTTGCTTAGAAGCCCTGAGCCATGGATCTGTATGCAGAGGGCAGCCAGTACCACACTCCTGTGTCCCAGGAAAAAAGGCTTGCACCAGAAATAATACTTAAAATGGAAATAGAAGTAGCTTATTAAGAAGGAAAACACTCCTAAGAATGGGTGTGTGCTAATGAGTTGAGGAGAGTGTCCATCACACATCTGGCCACATTGTGTACAGCTCTTCACAAGACACATAGAAAATCCATCTTTACCATGCATATTGCCTCTGTTTTTGAACAATCCAAGTTCCTTAGGTGAAATTCAGGTAAGGAAGCCATCCAGTCTTTCTTCTTTCATATGTTAACCTTTTACAAAGAGCAATTATTTATTTCTAATTTAAATGTTTTTGAGAATTTCATACATGTGTACAGTACTCGTATTATTTCTCCATCACCTCTTTCTTTAACTCCTCCCTCATTTTCTTTTCCATTTCAAACTCATGTCCCCTTCTTTAATTAGAGTTTCATACACTCACACAAATACATCCACCTGAGTCCATTTCGTGTTACTCTTACGTGCATGTGTTTAGGGTGATCTCTTGGGATTGGATAAACTATCAGAAGTCTTATCTCTGGGGAAAGTTGATTCTTTTTCCCTCTCATCAGTCATCTAGGAGTTGGGACCTAATGGATTTTCCATATCTATGCTGACATTTCAGCTGACATTCGTTTTGCAGGTTTTATTTAGTTGATCACATTTTTTGCATAGAAACCACAGTTCCCCTCCCCTCCCTCCTTTCCTCTTGCTCTTTCTCCACCTCCAGCCTAAGTCACCCCCCTGGACTCCTCAGAAAAGGGTACCCCCTCCCATGGGGAGTCAACAAAGCCTGGCTACTAGGTTGATGCAGGACCAAGCCCCTCTCGTTTGCATCAAGACTGAGCAAGGCATCCCACCATAGGGAATGGGCACCAAAAAGAAAATTCATTCTGTAAGGACAGATCCTGGTCCCACGTCAGGGGCCCCTCAAACAGAACAAGCTTTTTCTGACACCCTTAGTACCCCCTTTGGTATTTTCCTTCATTTGGTCTTTCAAGTTAAATATTATTTTCCGTTTCAAAATTCCCCTTTGTAGCACTGTGTCCTACTGTGCATCTTTCCAGGACTCCTTCCATTTCTCACAATGGCACCTTTTAGACTGGAGGCTGTGTACTCACATCTGAAGATTCAGGCCAGGGACCACAAATTAGACAGAGCATGTGATGTTCTTCTCTCTGGACCAGGATTACCTCACTCAGTATAATAGTTTTGGTTTCTGTTCATTTACCTGCAAATTTTATGTTTTCATTTTCTTTACAGTTGAGTAGAACTCTGATCTTTGTGATTTTCCTGCCTCAACAGAAGTAGTGAGTGGATATTCTACTGTCTCAAAAGGAGATACTGCCTGTGCTAGCTAGTTTTATGTCAACTTGACACAAGCCAGAGCTATGTGAAGGGAGGGAACCTCAATGGAGAAACCGTCTTCATAAGTTCTGGCTGTAGGGCACTTTCTTAATTAGTGATTGACAGGGTGGGGCAGCACAATTCTGGGGGCTCCCATTCTTGGGCTGGGGGATATGGGTTCTGTAAGAAAACAGGCTGAACAAGTCATGAGGAGCAAGTCAGTAAGCAGAATCCCTCCATGGCCTCTTCATCAGGTCCTGCCTCCAGGTTGTTGCCCTGCTTGAATTCCTGTCCTGCCTTCCTTCAATAATGGACTACAGTACTGGAGTGTAAGCCAGATAAACCCTTTCCTTTCCAAACTGCTTTGGTCATGCTGTTTCATTACAGCGATAGTAACCCTATCTAACATACTGCCTAGTCCTTCTAGGTTGCATCCTGATGGCATAACTCAGAGAAATGGTAGAGTAGTCATGTTATTGGCAAACACAATAATATGTGTAGTGCAGAAGAGATTCACAGAGATTACTGGTTTTTTCTTTTTCTGAGCTATAATAATTGACCAAAACCAAGAGACTATTATTGTGCACCCTTCCATAGCACGAGAGGACAAGGACGTCCCTTATCACAGACAAATGGATGCCTGCAGTCTTGTCACCTGATGCCATTTTGATATCTGTGGTCCATGTTCCTACAGGAGGCCATGTGGATGTCCAAAGTTTGTGCTCCCACTAGAGGCCATGCAGATAGCTATGGTCAGTATTGCTGCTGACTGTAAAGAGCAAGGAATCTTTTTTTGCAGTAGTATTGATGACTACAGCCTCACAGTTGAAAAATGAGAGACATAGAAGACTTCTGTGTCACCTCCCCACTTCCTACAGTTTCCTCAAAGCAACAGTCTAGACAGGCAGTCATTGAAGGAAAGTGTGATGGGGATGTTAAAGTGCAGCTCTTCACAGTTATGGCTTCTGGTTGGCTGGGGGAGATGCAGATGAGGAAAAGCTCAGTTTTTATTTTGGGAAGGGCATGCTACTGGGTGTTTGACCATACTCCAGTGAGCATATGGACAACACAAACTGAACTTGGTTAATTTTTTCTTGTTTTCCACCTTCTTTTGGGGGATAGTTCACAAGGGTGGGGGAATGGACCTGGAAAATGTGGAAAATCAGTGAAATCACATGGACCTGAGTTTTTGTCAATTTTATGGCCTATTTCACAGCACTCCCTTGTTTATGTGGCAGTCATCAGCTTTCCTTTGAGATGAAAGACAGGACTTGAAGTGTGATGGTGCCTTTTGCACAGATAAACTGGTTCTTGATGACATTTAAGCTTCTCTAGATAAGAGAAATCCCATGTGGGATATAAGGAAATTCCATTTCATGGTGACTGGGAGTAGAGCATCAATGAAATAAACAAGAATCTGTGGAGTGGGATGCAGAGTTCTTTGGACAGAGAAAAAGAAGCGGCACAGCTGGGTGGTGTGGTAGGTTCATCTTTAGTTCTTTAAGATTCTGCACACTGATTCCCAGAGCGCCTCCATCAGTTTTCATTGCCCCCCAACAGTGAATGCAGGTTCCTTCCCCCCACAACCAACCCCAACATTGTTTCAGTTGTTTGATTAATTTTATATACCCTGAATGGAGGGAAATGAAATGCTAAAGTTGTTATAATTTGCACTTTCCTAATTGCTAAAGATGATGAACAATTTTGAGATTTATCTTTTAGCCTTTTTATTTCTTCTTCTGAGAACTCCATCTAGATAGCCTTGTCCTCTGACCACCTCCATTTCCTTCACCAGGAAATGACTGTGGAGATGGCCTGAAGTCACCTTTGTTGGTGCTTTCAGTCCACTAGGGGGCACTGCAGGATTCCTTGCAATTACTTTTAATAAGGTGCCTAGAGGTTTGAAGATCTGAGATGAGATATAAGAACAAAAGGCAATCCACTCACAAAGCAAGGAGTAGGGGTGATGATTCAGAGATCACCTGGATCTCAATCATTCTGTAGAAAAGCAGTTATCTAGATCCTGTTTGCTGCATCTCATGTGCCTATAAATTTATTTTGACAACAATTCTATGAACAAAATAGATTCTCACTGGACATTATTAAAATGGACACTCAATAGAAACCAACTACACTGCTTTCATTTTAAACATGTTTTTGAAAAGTCCCAAATTCAAAGAACTAGAAATTATCCCATTTCTCTCTCTCTCTCTCTCTCTCTCTCTCTCTCTCTCTCTCTCTCTCTCTCTCTCTCTCTCTCTCTCTCTCACACACACACACACACACACACACACACACACACAAACACATACACACACACACACAGAGACAGACGGGGGGGAATATATTGTAAATTAGAAAGTAAAATAATGACTACTTGGGAGCTAATATGTATAAAAATAGAAGTATTGGGGCCTCACTGAACTTGGGCAGGCATTCACAGCCTGGTTGGAATCAGCTGTACATTCCTTAACAGCTGGGCAGAAGGCAAGAGATGGAAAATACATCAGGGAGGAAACACGGGCATGGATCATTTTTCCTTATTATGCCCACGGGAACATTTAATTTTCACATGATCTGCTAATATCAACAAATTGTTTTATTCTGTGCAGGGCATTGTGTAATTTAAGAATTCTTTTAGAGATTTCTCACTGGATCTATTAACAATACTTAAGGTTGGGGCTCCATGGCTAGCATTAGGTGGCCAACACAGAATGAACCCAATGGTGTTTTGTATCATTTTGTTTAGTCTGAGTGTTCTTTTGGGTCTTTTTTGGCTTTCATCTGTATTTTATGGTTTCCCATCTTGTATTTTTATGGGTTTGTTTGCGTGTTTCTTCTTTGATACTGTTTGTAAATCTTGGGGTTTTATTGTTGTTGTTGCCTGTTTGCTTTCCACAGAGAGGGAAAAAGGACATGCAGTGGGTGGTGAGAATGTGGGAAAGATCTGAGAGGAGGTGGGGGAGAGGTGTCTGTGATCATAATGTATTGTACAAAATTCTTTTTCAAGCTGAAAAAAAGGAAAAAAATCATGCTAGAATCCTTCCAACTGTTCTTAACCCAAGTACTTTGCATTTAAGTATTCCCCTTCCTCAGACATATCCGGCCCAAACTCCCCTTATAAGAAGTGTTACCTTAGAAATACAGTCTCCTGGAGTCTCCATCACTGTCTTCAACAGTTGGGGAGCTATTGCCATGCAGAGTCATGAGGTGGAAGTAGGTGTGGCTTCTTCTTCAGATAAGTGAGGAAGTTGGGTGATTCAGAGAGAACCTGTTGTGTGTAAGCACAAGTGTGTCTGGGCACAAGACTTGACACCCTCACAGCTGAAGAGAAGACATCCCGGCAACTGCAGAGGGGCCATGGAGAGGAAGCTGGGAGCTGTGCTGGGGATTCTGTGGGTGCAGATTTGCTGTGAGTTGTTCTCTCCTACATTGTTTTCGGGGTTCTCCAGAGAGGTCAGTGGTGGACAGGGAAGGAGCCAACCCAGAGCTCCTATGCAGTCATCCTCACGGTGTCTCCTGGGATATTTGACAGGTGTGGGTGAAAACCCCTCACTGATTCTGGTTTGCTTTCTGTTTCCGAGCAGGGGTGAGAGGAGTTGAGGTGGAACAGAGTCCTTCAGACCTGAGTCTCCATGAGGGAACCAGTACTACGTTCACATGCAATTTTTCTACAACCATGACATATGTGAGGTGGTTCCAGCAGAACCCCAGGGGCAGCCTCATCAGTCTTTTTAACATGGCTCCAGGAAAAAAGGAGAATGGGAGGTTAACTGCAACATTCAATTCTAATGAGCGCTTCAGCACCCTGCACATCAGGGAGGCCCAGCTGGAGGACTCAGGAACCTACCTCTGTGCTGCAGAGGCACAGTGCTCCCAGCAAGCCTGCAGCCTGGCCCCAAACTGCAGCTGTGCAGGAGGTTTTTGCACAGCTGTGGCTCTAACAGATCTCCAGCAATTACAAGAAAGAAGCGAGAAAACAGAAAATACTTCTACAGTAGTTCAAGCTTAAATTTGGACAGATGTCATAATGACTTGAAGAAAGATAAAAGCTCAGAAACATCAGCCACATGACTAAAATCTATACTTTATTTTATCAAAGGCTCATGCTAATGTCATAAAATATAAACCCTCTTACACACTCCAGAATCATTTTGGTCTTTTCAATAAATTGTAAACTGAGAACAACTGCTCTCATCCTGTGTTTAGAGAACATGGGACAATACTTCCAGTTATTCTCCTGAATATGAACTTGATAAAAGAATTGATTTGTAAGATATACTATATTACATTATACAAATGATGGACAAAGAAATATTAAATCAAATACGATTTCAATAAGGTCTTAATATTTTAAAAATATTATACATCAAATTGTGCAAAACAAATATTTCACTTTAAAAAAATGAGAACCAGCATCCCGGCATGCCTTCCAGTGACTGGGGATGGCCACAGAGCTTCCCATTCCAGCAGGAGCCTAACACCCCAGATCCCAGGTCTTCTCTTCCACCAAGGAGAAAGGGGACCAGGTAAAACAGGCCCTGCATCTGGGCTTGCATTCCAGTGCCTGGGGATTGCCTGGGAACTGCACAGAGCTTCCTATTCCTGCAGGAGCCAAGCCCCCGAGATTCCAGGACTTCTCTTCCACCAATGAGACCAGGAAACCAGCAGATCCAGGGACCAGGGGACCAGGTGGGAGGCTGAGCACCCCAGACTCCTGGTCTTTTTCTCCACCCAAGGGACAAGAACTAGGACAAGGAATAGAAGAACTACCAGAGTATTGGACTTGCTAGCACCCACCAAAAGGGAACTCTGGTCCCCTAACCACCAGAACAGTAAGGGGCTCTTTCTGCACCCACTAGAAGAAGAGATGGGAAAGAGACAATACAAAAACACACTCAGCAACAGAAAAACAAATATGACACTGCCAGATTCTAGAGACTCCACACCAGCAAGACTCCAACATTCTAATGCAAATGAAGCAGAAGAGAATGACCTTAAAACCACCTTCATGAAAATGATAGAGGCCCTAAAAGAGGATATAGGAAAACCCCTCAAAAAATGGACGAAAAAGCAAACCATAAAAGGCAAAAAATGGAAGAAAGAACAAACAAAAAAGGCAGCAAATGGAAGAAAAAGCAAACCAAAAAATTCACAAAATGCAACAAATAGACAAAAAGATAAACCGAAAATTGCAAGAAACAACTCAAACAGTGCCAGGGTTGAAAACTGAAATAGAGAAAATTTAAAAAAAAAACACAATCTGAAAAAAGGCTGGAAATAGAAAAGCTGTTCAAATGGTCAGGTCCTACAGATACAAGCATTTCCAACAGAATACAAGAGATGGAAGAGAGAATCTCAGGTGTTGAAGACACACTAGGAGAAATGGATTCATAAACCAAAAAAAAAAAAAAACTTAAGTCCAACAAATCCTTGTTGTATGAATGGGCATCTTTTGGATTATGTGTAAGAGTGGAGTTGCTGGGTCTTGTGGTAGATTTATTCCCATTTTTCTGAGGAATCTCCATACTGATTTCCAAAGTGGCTGAACATGTTGCCACTCCCACCAGCAGTGGAGGAGTGTTCCCCTTTTACCACATCCTCTCCAGCATAAATTATCATTCATGTTTTTGATTTTAGCCATTCTGACAGGAGTGAGATGGTATCTCAGACTTGTTTTCATTTGTATTTCCTGGATTGCTAAGGATGTTGAGCACTCTCTCAAGTGCCTCTCAGCCATTTTAGACTCCCCTATTGAAAATTCTCTAATTAGTTCTGCAGCCCACTTTTTAATTGGATCCTTTGGTGTTTTGGAGACTTGCTTCTTGAGTTCTTTGTTAATTTTGAAGATCAGCCCTCTGTCAGATGTGGGGTTAGTGAATATTTTTCCCTGTGTCCTTTGCCTTACAGAAGCTTCTCAGTTTCAGGAGGTCCGATTTATTAATTGTTGATCTCACTGTCTGTGCTACTGGTGTTAGGTTCAGGATGCTGTCTCCTGTAACAATTTGTTCAAGGTTACCAACCACTTTCTCTTCTAAGAGGTTCAGTATGGCTGGATTTATGTTGAGGTCTTTGATCCATTTGGACTTAAGTTTTGTGCATGGTGATAGACATGTATCAATCCGCATTCTTCTACATGCCAGCCTCCAGTAAGGCCAGCATCATTTGTTGAAGATGCTTTCTTTTTTCCATTGTATATTTTTAGCTTCTTTGTTGAAGATCAGATGTTCATACATGTGTGGGTTAACATCAGGGTTTTCAATTCGATTCCATTGGTCTGTCTATTTTTTGTGCCAATACCAAGCTGTTTTCAGGACTATAGCTGTATAATAGAGCTTGAAGTCAGGGATGGTGATGCCTCTGGACATTGCCTTGTTGAACAGGGTTGTTTTGGCTATCCTGGGTCTTCTGTTTTTCCACACAAATTTGCTTATTGTTCTTTCAAGGTCTGTGAAGAATTGTGCTGGGATTTTAATGGGGATTGCATTGAATCTGTAGATTGCTTTTGACAGGATTGCCATTTTTACTACATTGATCCTACCTACCCTAGAGCATGGAGGATCTTTCCATTTTCTGAGGGCTTCTTGAATTTCTTTCTTTAAAGATGGCATCCATGGTCTCTTTGTGTTGTTAGAATATCTATCCAGGACCTTCTGGCTTTCAAAGTTTTCATGGAGAAGTCAGGTGTAATTCTGATAGGTTTGCCTTTATATGTTACTTGGCCTTTTTCCTTAGCTGCTCTTAATATTTTTTCTTTATTATGTATATTTGGGGTCTTGATTATTATGTGGCAAGGGGACGTTTTTTGTGATCCACTCTATTTGGTGTTCTGTAAGTTTCTTATACCTTCATTGGCATGTCTTTCTTAAAGTTGGGAAAGTTTTCTTCTATTATTTTGTTGAATATGTTTTCTGCCCCTTTGAGGTGGTTTTCTTTACCTTCTTCTATACCTATTATTCTTAGGTTTGGTCTTTTCATGGTGTCCCATATTACTTGGATGTTTTGTGTTAAAGATTTGTTGGACTTAAGATTTTCTTTGGTTGATGAGTCCATTTCTCCTAGTGTATCTTCAACATCTGAGATTCTCTCTTCCATCTCTTGTATTCTGTTGGTAATTCTTGTATCTGTAGGACCTGATCATTTGCCCAGCTTTTCTATTTCCAGCCTTTCTTCAGATTGTGTTTTTTTTTATTGTCTCTATTTCAGTTTTCAACCCTTGCACTGTTTGCATTGTTTCTTGCAATTTTCGGTTTATCTTTTTCATCCATTTGTTGCATTTTATGAATTTTTTGGTTTGTTCTTTCTTCCATTTCTTGCCTTTTTGGTTTGTTTTTTCTTCCATTTCTTGCATTTTTTGGTTTGCTTTTTCTTCCAGTTCTTGTATTTTTTTTGGTTTGTTTTTTCTTTCATTTCTTGCATTTTTCGCTTTGTTTTTTCTTCCATTTCTTGCATTTTTTGTTTGGTTTTTCATCCATTTCTTTGAGGGTTTTAGGGCCTCTATCATTTTCATGAAGGTGGTTTTAAGGTCATTCTCTTCTGCTTCATTCGCATTGGTGCTGGTGTAGAGCCTCTAGAATCTGGCGGTATCATATTTGTTTTTCTGTTGCTGAGTGTGTTTTTGTATTGTCTCTTTCCCATCTCTTCTTCTAGTGGGTGCAGAAAGAGCCCCTTACTGTTCTGGTGGTTAGGGGACCAGAGTTCCCTTTTGGTGGGTGCTATCAAGCCCAACAATCTGGTAGTTCTTCTATTCCTTGTCCTTGTTCTGGTCCCATGGGTGGAGAAGAAGACCAGGATTCTGGGTTGCTTAGCCTCCCACCTGGTCCCCTGGTCCCTTTGCTGGATCTGCTGGTTTCCTGGTCTCATTGGTGGAAGAGAAGACCTGGAATCTGGTGTGCTTGGCTCTCGCCGGGAATGGAAGCTCTGTGCAGTTCCCAGGCAATCCCCAGGCACTAGAAAGCAGGGCTGCATGCAGGGCCTGTTGTACCTGGTCCCATGGGACCAGCTGGTCCCCTGTCTCCCTGGATCTTTTGGTTTCCTGGTCTCGTTGGTGGGAAAAAAGACCTGGAATCTGGGTTGCTAGTCTCCTGCAGGGATTGGAAGTTCTGGGCAGTCCCAGGAAATCCCCAGGCACTGGAAAGCAGGCCCGGATGCAGGGCCTGTTTTACCTGGTCCCGCCAGAACAGCTGGTCCCCTGGTCTTCCTGGATCTGCTGGTTTCCTGGTCTCCTTGGTCTGACATAGTCTTGTATATATGCTAAAATGTGAAGAATCATATGTAATCTATGGTAGATTTAAATATTTAAAGTAGTATCACTAGTGTGTATAATTTTGATATCTCAGCACTAAAATGCACCTGACATGACACAATTATGATTTATGTGTCTGAGTCCCTCACAGGTAGAGAACACTTAAGCAGAGGCTTCACTGGTTAAGGATGCAACCACAAGATGGCAGTAGACCTCAGCTGCTGGGGAGAATGCAGAGGATTCTCTTCCTTGTGTGCTGGTTGTGCAGTCTCAGGACAGAAACACAGTCTTTTTCTCAGTGCTGAGTGGATGACACTAGTGGTAGCATTGTTACTGACAAAGAACAACACCCCAGTGCTTTAACTGACCTCCTAGACGTCATGATAGAGATAGTGGATCCTTCACTGCCTGGATCGGGGCCTACAGGGCATAGAGCAGGGCCTACCGGGCACAATTCCATGGAAGTCTAATCCATCAATGAGGGAATCAAAGGTAGGAAGTCATAACAGGTATCTAGAAGCAGGGACTAAGGCCATTTTGGAAAAATAACACTTTATTGCGCTGATTCAGTGGCCCAATCAGTTTGTGTTCATACAGACACCAGGACCACCTGTCCAATGGAGGGACAAACTACCAAGGACTGCAGCAGCTACCATAAATCACTAATCTAGAAAAATGCTCCATAGACATGCCTAGAGGACAGTATGATTAAGAGGATTACTCAGTTGAGTTTCTTCTACACAAGTGACTTTACTCATGTCAAGTTGGACACTTGTCAATTTGACACATAACCATATCACTATTAAACTATAACCTTTCTTATCTTACTGATTCCTAGGAATTCATCTTAATATAACAATATGAAACATCTGAATACTTCAAAATTTCCACTAT